ATGGAAACCAAAACAAAGAAATTGAAGATAAGAATAAATCTGAAGCTGAAAATAAAGAACTGGCTAGACAACTGCAAATAGTCTATGCTAGTGTTGCAAAACTTGAAGAAAGAGATGTTGGCATGAAGGAAGTACTCGAACGGGTGTTGCCGTCTGGAGAGCATTGACGAGGCCATGGCTGAGGGTGAGGTGCCATCATTTATTCCTAAACCTACTAAAACCCCTGAGGTGCCTAAGAGTGTTGATAGGAATGGTGAACCAGACTGCCCTGATAATGAATGTTTGATGAATGGTACCGGTACTATTAAAAAATTGAATTTTGCTGATGAGTGTGTGGTTGACCAGTCTACACCTATGCATGCAAATGTGAATGGTAACGTTACTGATTGCAAGGCAGTTCCTTTTGGTATGAATAATAGTATGAGAATGATATTTTTCAGCCTGATACTTTTAATGGTGATGGTATGTCTTTGGATGATTATTTGTGTCATTTTTCATCCATTACTACCTGTAATGGATGGACTGATAAAATTGCTGGTGTTCATTTTGCTGCATGTATGCGTGGGAAGGCTTTGTCCTTGTTGAATGAATTATCTCTTCCAGATAGACACAGTTTGAGTGTTGCAGTGAATCACTTGAAAAAGCGTTATTATCCGGAGGGTAAAGAGTCATACTTTGCTACTCTGTTTAATAACAGGAAGAAGTTGGCCACTGAGACGCCAACGGAATATGCTACTTCCTTTCGTGCATTGTCAAGGAAGGCTTATCCTTCTTTGGATGTTATTGCTCGTGAGAATCTGATTAAGCAGCGTTTCATTTCAGGTTTTCCTGATTTCGAGATGTGTAAGACTTTGACTATCAGGCAGACTCAGAGTTTGGATGAATTAATTACTGTGGCTGATGTTGTCATTCTATTGATGCTACGCACAGTGCACCTGGTTGTAATCGTGCTAGTAAGCCCATGGTAGCTGTTGTGAATAATTCTGAGCGTGATGATGGTGTTGTGAATCTGAATTTAGTAAGCTGCGGAATGATATTAAAGAGATGCTTGACAGTTTTCGTGCTATGTTGACAAAGGTCATCAACCCGATTTTCCCGTCAGAAGGGTGGGCGTAGGAATGAAGGTATTACTTGCTATGGTTGTGGTGCCAAGGGTCACATACGTAGGAATTGTCCGGAGAACCTGTGCCAGATATGTAATGGCAGGGGTCATATAGCTTCTCAGTGTGATAGATATTATGTTCCACAGAATTCGCAGCCTTCTGCGTATGCGGCCCAGCAAACGGCCAGTGGCCCTGTAGGAAATTTTTCACCAGGGAATAGCTCAAATTCTGCCTGGGGTGGGAATGGCCAAACTCCTCGTGACGGTGGGAATATTCCCCAGTTTCACCCTGCTCCCAAGAATAATGATATGCCTTTAAACAGAAATCAGTAGCACGGGGTCCTCAGTTGCTACTGGAAAGATGACGAATTTATGCATGGACCATGATTTTGATAATTTGATTTGTTCTTTGAGATTACCCACTTGCTGGTATGCTATGGTTGATGTGAATGGCATTACTGTACGTTTTCTTATTGATTCTGGTAGCGCTGCTACGCTTATAGATTATGCAGTTTTTTGTTCTATTAGTGGAGGAGTGTGATTTGTCTCCTTGTGATGTTTGGTTTCAAACTGCTAATGGTACTTCTATGAAAGCTCGTGGTATGAATGACTTGAAAATTTGTATTGATTCTGTGTGTGCTGTTCAGAGAGTGATTATTATTCCCTGACTAAGCCTGTTTCGTCTGTTCCTAGTTGTAGAATTGTTGTAGAGAAATGTGTGACTGTTCCCAGAGAGAGTGAGATGGTGATTTATGGTCGTTTGAATGGCCCATGGAAACCCAATAGTGACGTCATAGCTGTGGCAGAGGCTGCGTGTGTGTTTGAGAGCGAGTATGGTCATCGAGGTTTGTTTTTATTTCCCGGAGTGGTGGACGCCCCATGCTCTTTAGTGCCTCTCGTGGTGGTCAATGTTAGCAAGGACGCGGTAGAAATACTTGCGGATCTGCTGATCGGTTTAGGCCTACTATGCCCAAGAGAAAACCGGACTGTCTCTTCTCTGGAACAAGTGGTGCCTGGTGATGTCATGGACACAAGGGAACTACCTGAACATTTAAAAAAGCTCGTTGACGATCTAGTAGATTTAACGGATGAACAGCGTCAAAGTGTTCATGATTTGCTTGTCGAATTTCAGGATGTTCTTGCTGGTCCTGATGGAAAACTGGGACGAACTTCTGTAGTCAAACAGAAGATTAAAACGTCAACATCTGAAGCTTTTGAATTTGCTCGAGAACAGTTAGGTAAATCTGCTGTTCGACAGAAACGTAATTTTAATGCAACTGTTAAGCCTTTATCTTTTAATGTTGGTGATTTTGTTTAGTATTTTTATCCTCCTAAGAGTAGAAAACTTTCGACCGGTTGGATAGGTCCTTTTGAAGAGTTAGATTGTTTTTCACATTTTGTATATCGTATTAACAATGTTAACACTGGTAATTCTAGAACAGCTCATGTTGATCATCTTCGTTTATATTTGAGGGAAGATTGTGACAGTGTGCCTGTTATTAATGCTGATTTCCCAGACAATATTGCTGTTTCTAATGATGATGAGCAGGATGTTGTTATTCCTGTTGATGTTGAGTCAGAAGTTTATTTAGATTTGCCTGTAGGGGGGTCTGATGAAAATCAGGTTGTTACTCGTTCAGGTAGGACAAGGCGTAGACCTGCCTACTTGAATGATTTTCATACTTGATTTATGCTCTGTAACATTTTGTTTTGAATTACATTGGGAATTGTGCTATGATGTACATATTTAGGTAAGACTAGTTAGTATTTTTTTTTATTCAGGGTTTATTTGATTTTGTAGTTTTCTTTTGTATTGCTATTGTGTATTTTGTAAATAGTATGCTGTATTATTGCCATACTTTCAGGGATGCTTTCTACTGTTTTAGTATTTCGTTTTACTGTGTTTCATATTTTGCTAATACCTGCTGATTGACAATTTGTGTTTTCTACGAGTTTTGTATTCTTACTGTGTTTAATACCTTTCTTGGGGGATGTTTTTATTTTTTTTTGAGAGTAAATTTTTCTGAATTTTCTCTAATGAAAAGGGGGGTATTGTGGCGAGACTGGATTGTCCTATTTTTTATTGTTTTATATTTTATTTATATTTCTCGTCTAGTCTTTTTCGGCTCGCGTGCCAAAATTGGCTGAACTCAACGACAAAAATCTCCCGCATGCCGACCAAAATTAAAAACAACGCTTTGCTACTTTCAAGGCAAAAATTAGCAATAATAAACCTTTTAAACATGTACAGACAGATTCACTCACTATTCAGGGAAATATCAGTCCGGCAAATAGATTTGATTACTTTCTTATTCTATATCAGTGAGACTTCTGCGGCTGCATTACCATTGATAGAGATTTTGCATACGGTTTATATTTTGTAACTTTCAAAGAAATAGAGAGAGATTCACAAGCATATGCAGATTAAAACAGGTTGCAGTTGCAAAGTTTTTAAGACACGAAAAGGGAATGGCATCCCAATCATGCAATAGTTTGTTTCTGCATTCCTCTCTTGTATTCCCTTCCCTAATCGCTTATATTTCTTTCAAAATCAATTTATCTCTAACCAACATGAGCTGTACAACTTCATAAACCAAGCAGGAATGAACAAAAAGGCTGGCACAGACGAACTATATTATGTAAGAATGTAGCCAAATGAATGCTGCGCTCTTCTCGACAAAATTTCTTGAGAGCTCGCTCATTTATTACGTTATAATATATTTCTTGTAGCCATATTCATCAAAGGACAAAAATAGTTTATATAAACAACGGATTATTAACAAAACTATATTAATAAACGAACACCTAATTTCATCAGATAATTCGGAGTCTTGAAACTTTTTATCTGAAGGAGAATGATCTCGTTTCCGAGGTCTCGCTCGAGTGCCGAATAAATGTGCTTGCGTGTCAAGTTTGGCACGTGTGTCAGGGGTTGCCACCCCTGCACTATACTGTCAAAAAATATAGAATTCCTTAGTTTCTACATGCTTCAAAATCAGTATAATATTAAAATAGGTATGTAATACCACATCGGTACCACTCAGTAAGATGGTAAATAAACATGCCTGCACACTGGAGTATCTTGCATCGTACATTACAATTTCCCCACTTAATGCCCTATTTTTGCCATACTGAAAAGTGGATTATATATTTACCGTTTATTGATATGTTCAATTCGTCTTTCGGGTGGGTTCAAATTGTCATGTTATAGCACTAGGATTTGAATTTTGTGTTTATGATGCTAATGTTTATACACACATAGCAAACAGATAAGTCAAATTGAATCCAGAATGTTAGAAATCTACTCTGTATAATAATGATATAACAATTGTATCTACCTGACAGCCATTGTGCAAATGCAAGATGTACTTTGGGTAGCCTTTCTATTGTAAATTATTTATAATTTACCCTGGAACTTTGATGCTAATTATAAGTAAATTGTGGACATGTTTTTATTATTGCTGCTGCTGTTTCCTTTCCAACCACAAAATCATTAGATGAATACTTATAATGATTTTATGTAACACATTGCACTTTTCCTTGAACCCATCTAATTTTCATTGACTTTTAGAAATATTTTCACAAAAGTCAATATTGTATTAGTTACTTATTTTCTCAATAAAATTGTTACAGTAGATTTGCACAGTTATACTGCTGTTTTGGTAGAATAAAAAAAATGATCTTTCACCATTCAATATACCTGAGGACTAATGCATTGTTACTTCATGGCTGCTTAGTCAGTGCTGAGATTGCTATTGCATTTTGAGGTGATTTTGTGTTGGTGTGGAATATCTATTTTTTACCTGAATATCCGCTTTTTGTGGCTAGGTGGCTGACATGCCTTTCACATTAGAAACTACTACATGTTACTTTGATGAATGCTCATCTCTTTTTTTAGATCCCTATCAACATATATAGTGAGCATGTTTTCAAGTAGATATATGCAGCTGCCTTGCATGCTAAACAGATATCAGAGAAGAGAACTTCAAACAGGAGACTGACAGGAAAAGGTAAATTATTGCTCTTTGTGAAGTTATTTCAAACGCGGTCCCAGGCACCACTGGTGATTTTCAAATATATGATTGTTCTTGCAGTATCTAATTCAGCAACAGTTGACATGATATTTGAAACATTTTAAGTTGTAGTTGTTTAAAACAACTGCCATAGTTGAAGGTGGGTTTTCACAAATCTGAAATCTTTGGGAAAATATTTTAACGCAGGAGTTTACAAACAGCTGAATTGGTGTAACAGCCAAACTCTTTTTGGTAAAAACAAAGACAGAAAGTTCTGATAAATAAAGTCTGGTTTCCATTGATATTTCACTTTAATCAATGCATGAATCTAAATGTTTGACATTTGGTCTATTGGATTTGAAAGTTCGATGATTAAATACTGAATATTGTGCGACTCGAGAACTAATTTTCTATGGTTGCATAATTACAAAAATTTCATCAGATACAGAACACAATTCTACAAAAGTGTACCACATGCCAAGTTATCAAAATATTTCAAATGGATAATTCAGATTTCAGACAAACATTTGTTCAAAAGCTTAATTTTTCAATACTGTGTCAGACGAATTATTTAATTCAAGAGAAGTTTATGAATCAGAATTCACAATTGCCGGTTAAAAATTTTCTTTCTGTATTAGACAGTTACTGGTATCGTATAACAAGATATATTAAATATTAATATACAAATGTAATTTTCCACCAAGCCATAAATACCTTCCAACATCATAAAATTTGGCCATGATAAATTTTACTTCGGCATCTGTCAATGTAGAAACTCAAGATTAGATTTCCATCTTATTGAAAAAAAAATTTGCCATGAATACTACATTTGTTGCCGATCTGATCCTTACTTTGCGAAGCATGCCTTAATTTTCAGTAATATGAAAGTTTACAACAGTTAATGGTTTATGTATTGTATATCGACTACCCATGGTATTTTTACAACTGATTTTGTTGTGTTATTGGCTCCAGTAGTTAGTATGGGCAGCTATGCTTATTTTAATTTTTCTGGGGTCAGTTTGATTTTTACATGAATCTTCTCAAACATGATTTGTGTAAACATATCTGGATTGATTTATTTTATAATGTATTCATAATGCTGATTCTACTGATTGCTGTTGTGGCCTAACAACTACTTCCTGTCGCATTGTCATTTTGTAACCAGCTTAACCAGTAACACAAAATTTAGTTAATATCAATCAATGTTGTGTGGATCTATATTACCCTCCTGTACCTCACATTTACAGAAATTTAGTGTTCAATCATTCTGCAGCATTTTGTAAACAGGAGTTTGAAAAGAAAGCTGACCAATTCAATCAGATTTTCAAAGTCGATATGGGAGGAAAAGTATTTGTTTGTGGAAAACGAGAGTAGGCCACAATGTGTGGTATGTTTGCAAGTTGTGTCTGTGCCCATAATATAAAATCTGAAAATCTTGTGGGCCCCTAAATAACCTTGGACCACCCTGCGTTGGGTACATTTTTTTTCTAAAAACCCACAACACAAATACCTAATCAAAAAAAAAAAAAACTAATATTTAAACTAGGTAATTCTAACTCAAACAACATGAGGGTGGCACGCAGCCATGCCTTGAAGGATGTTGGTGCCTAAGTCAGAGCTGCACAATACAAATGGGGATATGTGCCGAAGTTTTAAAATAATTTTGTCGGGTGCCATGCTACGCTTGAATAATTGTAGGTATTATAAAACTAATTTTCTTGAACAACAAACTAAAATGCACATATGAACGAACAACTATTTACTGAATCATTTCATTGTCCTGAAAAAACACTGATTTAGGACGTTTTGGATAGACCTAATTTGTAATTTGGGGCTTCAGAGAAATAGTGATGCGCATCCCTGAATTTAAATGTTATAATTATACTATATATCTAAATTATGTCATACTAAACCCGTCGTGTATCACGTTTAAGCTTATGGCATGCCACATTGTACATGTGTGCCTTGTATGTTGTGCACCCCATGGCCCATGCCAATGTGATATTCGTTCAAAATGCTAAAGAAGTAGAGGTTAGATAGTTTACAAAGATATTTTCATGCTTTTCTTTCGCAACTCCGCATTTAAGCATGGTGTTGGCTCTTGCCGAAGTTAAAATCTCTTTTAAGCACAGAAAGTCCCAACAGATATCGTAAGTGGTTATTTGTCATTGAATTGCGGGGAACTTTATGTATAAATTTAAAAACTTTACTATAGTATTTCACTTTTTAACAAATATTGAGTTGCAGTATTAAAGCCTTTACGTAGTCTAAAAAGTGTTGCACAAACATATTGTATGCTACAGCTAACATCTACCTAGGAAAAATATGCTATGTTCAAAACAGAATGTTTCAGTTAAAACCAAAATTGTTCATCTATTTTATGTTAAACCAAAATTGTTCACTTATTTTATGTTGTGATATTGGTGTTATTTTAAAACTTGATATCATCATATTTATACAGTGAGATGACTGCAGTTTTCAAATTGGATGGCAACTTGCCAAGTTTAGGTTGTTGCAGAATCTCATTCGAAGTTGGTGGTATATTATCAGCTATGTAGTTCAAGAAGACAGATGGGGATGTTATCTTGACCAAGCTGACACAATGGTACTGAAAACTGAGGCTGTGGATCTTTTAAATATTTTCAAAAGCGAACTCATCTTTGCTTGTATATTTTCATATATGCGTGTATACATATATTCATGGTTTATGTGCTTGTTTTCATCAGTTGTTCATATAGTTGGTTATCAATTCAAAGATTTGTCACACTGCCTAATCTGATGACAGACCATGAGTTCATGACAACTCAGCTTGAATATGTAAATAACCGAACTAGTTAATTATTCAGATTTTTTTCATGATTTAATTAGTTATCTTAAACAGTAATTGTAATCGATTTTTTCAATTGCATTATAGTCGAGTTTGAAGTCCTCTATATCAGTGGTCACCAAAGTGTGCGTCGCGACCCCAAGTGGGGTCGTTTTAAATATTCCTGGGTCGCCGAGTGCCCATCGTTGTCTTTTCTTTTATTATTTTTATCATGTGTGTGACTTCTCGGCTTAACGCTAGATACTTCAAACAAAAGAATGAATAACAAGCACGCAGACAGGTAATATCAAGAGCAATTACGATAAATTAATTATGACATCATAATCACAAATTTAGTCCGTGTGAAAAACAGCGTTCTATGACACAAATACACAACAGCGTGTAGTCTGCACTGTTAAGTTGAATAACGTTACATAGGCTAGCAAGTTTCTATATTCCGAATTGGAGTGACTTCTTTTATAATAAGGCTATTTATTGCTTAACGACAGTAATTTATATTTTAAAGTAAATCGCTATTGTGTCTTAAATGTACTGTATAGTGGCCGTTGCTTTTACTGCAGAGCCTCATTTTCCAGGCTACCGTCATATTGGTAATTACAATTTATTAAATGGCTGATAAACATAAAAGAATAATATCGTATGATCAATCTTTTTGAAAGCTTGACTTTTAGTGCTATGAGTCTGCTAAAATCAAAGCACCGAAATCGATTAAACGTAGAACACGATTTGCGTTTGAGCTTAAGCAACATTAAGCCACGAATGCAAGATCTCGTTGGAAGGAAGCAGTCGCATTCGTCACACTGATTAAATATGGTTGTTGTTGGGTTCCGAATTTGATAAATATTTTTTTCGTCTCTGTAGGTGAATATATATATATATATATAACTTGGGGTCGCGAGTGTTTATCATACGTAATAATATTGTAGATGGGGTCGTGTCTCAAAAAGTTTGAAGACCACTGCTCTATATCATCGTTTGTGACTTCGGCTGTTAGTTTGTGGTTATTAAACAGTTATTCTGTTTTATTCATTTTGATAAGCCAATTTGGTAAATTTTCCTAATTGAGACTAGTTGCACGGTTGTTAGTTTTCGGAGGAATTAATTTGAAAATATTCATTTTCATCGGAAACATTGAAGACTTGAAGCATACAATCTGCCATTTCATTTGGATTTCTGTTGTCTCAGTTGAGGGGATATTTCATTTTTGACGAGGCATCAATGAAGTTTTATTGCAGATGACTGGTAATTATCACTTATGTCAGATAGAATTAGATAGGAATTTAGGTGAGAGTCTGTAGTAATACCAAAAGTGGTATCTTGTAATCTATCCAGTGAGTATATGAGCTGTAGAGTTCAAGAATACTGTATCTGTATATTATTCTACAATGTCTTGAAATATTTAGGTGGATCTGTTTAAAAATAATATAGTATGTCATAACTTAGTGACCAAAAGCATTTCAAGCCAAAGCATTCAACAGTTTATACACCAGCACAGTCAGTAATTTGCTTCACCAGAAGAACTTAGCTTTATGTTATCCGTGCATTCCACTATTTGCTACGACATAAAGGGCGCTCGTGCAGCGAGATAGGAAATCATTTCTGTACAGAATAATTTTAAATAAGTGTATGAAAAAGACCAATATGCGTCTCCATGATATCAGCCTCGTCCCTCAAGAGTCCTATGTGTTCTGGTAAATAGTTGGCGTAACATATTCAGAAATGTCTTGACAGGTCAGTTTTCACGGATGCTTGACTTTTATGTATGTTAGTGACTAGGCGCATGAGACATGAGGTGATATTGCAGGCTCTCAAGAGTTCACCATTTTATTTGGGTGTATTTCGTGTCTTTTTGCACCAGGTTTAAACATGTGACACTTTTCTCCATATGTAAAACTCACTAGTGGGAATTTATTTGCTTACTGCGAGTTCCCCGGGATTCAGGTATTAATATTTTTTTATTTTAACACTGCTTTGTTAGGCGGGTAATACATATGCCAGTGGGCATCCAGGAGGGTCCTAATACCGCGTTCGATTGTATTTTGCTAAAATCGCCGACTGTTCTTGTAAGTGTGGCGTGTTGTTTAGGCCTTTGGGGTTATTCTTCCTAAATCACAAATTTCCCAGAAATTTGTGCCACAACAAAGATGATAATTACTTAATTTTTGTACTCTAAATCTTGTACTAGAATCTCGCGCAGAACTTTGGATCCAGTGAGAGTTATTACCCATTCATCGGCGGCGAGACGCTAAAGACGAACTAAGGGTGAATCCGTGACGCAAATTTTTCGATTGAAAAGCGACAATATGAAATACCAAAAATAAAACCGTAAACAATATCAATTTTGTTATAGGACGCCCGCAACAGATTAAAAACATTTATCTTGCCATTGTAAATTGAAAAATTTCGTGTGCCTATGGCACACATTATGTTTGGTCGGCGTTGGGAGCCATACCGTCATCAAAATCGAAACACAGTCAATTGTGCGCGGCATTTACCTTTTTATCCATTACTTTAAATCTCTATCAAAAATTTTCGTGGTAATGTTATACGAGTTTGAAAACGCGACCTTTTCTTGAATTGTGATGATATAGGCTATAAGATTATTAATTAAAGTATATTCAATCAATTTTTATTGTACTAAAATAAATTTTACTCCATTAGATTTTATAGTAGACTTAGGAATTTTTCTAACTGGTTTATCTTGAAAATAATCTGTGTGGCAACATTACGATAGAGCGGAGTCAGTGTTGCAAGTACAGCTCAAACCTATCGAATTCGCGAAATGACGAAAAAATTTATGAAACTGGATATAATCGGGCAGAAGTTGGTGGTATATTATCAGCTATGTAGTTCAAGAAGACAGATGGGGATGTTATCTTGACCAAGCTGACACAATGGTACTGAAAACTGAGGCTGTGGATCTTTTAAATATTTTCAAAAGCGAACTCATCTTTGCTTGTATATTTTCATATATGCGTGTATACATATATTCATGGTTTATGTGCTTGTTTTTCATCAGTTGTTCATATAGTTGGTTATCAATTCAAAGATTTGTCACACTGCCTAATCTGATGACAGACCATGAGTTCATGACAACTCAGCTTGAATATGTAAATAACCGAACTAGTTAATTATTCAGATTTTTTTCATGATTTTAATTAGTTATCTTAAACAGTAATTGTAATCGATTTTTTCAATTGCATTATAGTCGAGTTTGAAGTCCTCTATATCAGTGGTCACCAAAGTGTGCGTCGCGACCCCAAGTGGGGTCGTTTTAAATATTCCTGGGGTCGCCGAGTGCCCATCGTTGTCTTTTCTTTTATTATTTTTATCATGTGTGTGACTTCTCGGCTTAACGCTAGATACTTCAAACAAAAGAATGAATAACAAGCACGCAGACAGGTAATATCAAGAGCAATTACGATAAATTAATTATGACATCATAATCACAAATTTAGTCCGTGTGAAAAACAGCGTTCTATGACACAAATACACAACATCGTGTAGTCTGCACTGTTAAGTTGAATAACGTTACATAGGCTAGCAAGTTTCTATATTCCGAATTGGAGTGACTTCTTTTATAATAAGGCTATTGCTTAACGACAGTAATTTATATTTTAAAGTAAATCGCTATTGTGTCTTAAATGTACTGTATAGTGGCCGTTGCTTTTACTGCAAAGCCTCATTTTCCAGGCTACCGTCATATTGGTAATTACAATTTATTAAATGGCTGATAAACATAAAAGAATAATATCGTATGATCAATCTTTTTGAAAGCTTGACTTTTAGTGCTATGAGTCTGCTAAAATCAAAGCACCGAAATCGATTAAACGTAGAACACGATTTGCGTTTGAGCTTAAGCAACATTAAGCCACGAATGCAAGATCTCGTTGGAAGGAAGCAGTCGCATTCGTCACACTGATTAAATATGGTTGTTGTTGGGTTCCGAATTTGATAAATATTTTTTTCGTCTCTGTAGGTGAATATATATATATATATAACTTGGGGTCGCGAGTGTTTATCATACGTAATAATATTGTAGATGGGGTCGTGTCTCAAAAAGTTTGAAGACCACTGCTCTATATCATCGTTTGTGACTTCGGCTGTTAGTTTGTGGTTATTAAACAGTTATTCTGTTTTATTCATTTTGATAAGCCAATTTGGTAAATTTTCCTAATTGAGACTAGTTGCACGGTTGTTAGTTTTCGGAGGAATTAATTTGAAAATATTCATTTTCATCGGAAACATTGAAGACTTGAAGCATACAATCTGCCATTTCATTTGATTTCTGTTGTCTCAGTTGAGGGGATATTTCATTTTTGACGAGGCATCAATGAAGTTTTATTGCAGATGACTGGGTAATTATCACTTATGTCAGATAGAATTAGATAGGAATTTAGGTGAGAGTCTGTAGTAATACCAAAAGTGGTATCTTGTAATCTATCCAGTGAGTATATGAGCTGTAGAGTTCAAGAATACTGTATCTGTATATTATTCTACAATGTCTTGAAATATTTAGGTGGATCTGTTTAAAAATAATATAGTATGTCATAACTTAGTGACCAAAAGCATTTCAAGCCAAAGCATTCAACAGTTTATACACCAGCACAGTCAGTAATTTGCTTCACCCAGAAGAACTTAGCTTTATGTTATCCGTGCATTCCACTATTTGCTACGACATAAAGGGCGCTCGTGCAGCGAGATAGGAAATCATTTCTGTACAGAATAATTTTAAATAAGTGTATGAAAAAGACCAATATGCGTCTCCATGATATCAGCCTCGTCCCTCAAGAGTCCTATGTGTTCTGGTAAATAGTTGGCGAAACATATTCAGAAATGTCTTGACAGGTCAGTTTTCACGGATGCTTGACTTTTATGTATG